TATATATATATATATAAGAAAACTAATTTTTAATCCAAAATAGGTAGGCAATTATTTATTTATTTTTAATTTGCATAGATGCCCAAACTCATTAACTAAACCAAACAGACCCATACAAATTTGGTTTGGTTTCAACGACTAGATTGCATTGATTTGAGTTGGAAAAAACCCAAGCCGATTAAGTCGGTTTTGGTTTCAAGTTGGATTCAAAACCAATCCAACCCAAACCAAGTCAAAGCCTATCTTCTGGAAATAGCACAAAAACGTTGCTACTTGAAACCTTTAGTACGAAATACACCATTCTATCAATTTTTTTTAATAAAAAACCATAACATGATGAATATACCCTCCATTCCAATTTGAATAAAACAAAAAAGAAAAGCAAAAAATAAAAATCAAAAATGAAAATCTAATTACAACATGGTCCCAAAATTTTCAAAAAATTACAAATTAATCCCAAATAAATAATTTAAAAAATCAAAACTAGAAAAAGAAAATCATTTCCTCTTCCTCTTCCTCTTCCTCTTCCTCTTCCTCTTCCTATCTCACCACCACCGCCACCACAGTCGCCATCGCCGTCAGTTATAAAACCAATCATTGTTTAATAACAGCCATATATATCAGTTTTGCATTTGATATGGGGGCATCATTATCGGTTTTAATGGAGAATCGGTCATGCAACGGAGGTCCAGGTCTGGGGAACATACCTGAGAGCTGCATGGCGTGTGTGTTTCTATACCTGACGCCGCCGAAGATTTGCGATATGTTTCTTCTCACTCGGGCGTTTCGTAGGGTTGCCTCATCCAATGTCGTTCAGGAGACCAATCTTCTTCCCAGCTACCACCATCTCCTCAACCTCAACGTCATCCCCCAGGTCGATGGAGTCAGCTACCATAATTGTCTCTCCATTTTTGGCAAAACAAAGTGGTAAGACAAATACCAAACTAAAAACCATATTCAACCATTACCTCAAAACTTACACCAAATGAACAATGTTTAATTATTTTCTTCTTAATAATTTATTTATTTGAAAAAAAAAATCTTTATTTATTTTACAAATATATAAATTACTAAACAAATAATTACCTTAAACTAACAAAAGTATTAAATTCATTAATACATATAAAAATTTATTTTTTTCATTATTAAAATTTATTTTATTATTATTAATAATAATAATCATAATAAGAATTATAATAATAAAAATTTATTTTATTAAAAATATATAACTAAATGACACAAATACCCTCAATCAATTATTTTGACAAATAGAAAAAAAGGTGAATTTGACCAAAATTTGGTGTCACGCTGGAGAGGTTTTGTGCCAAAATTTGATGTATTTTGGTGATTTGGTGCATCTATTGGAGATGCCCTAACCCCGAACAAATCTTAGTGCACCAAATATGTAATCCCAATCAATCTTAGGCCCTACACCAAAATGCTCATTTTCAGATTCAATAATTGTATATTTAGCAGGACTCTTTCAAATTTTGGGTGTGGGACACCATCTTCCTTATTCGAATTGCAACTTATGCTAAGTGGAAATCCACATATCCTTGCATTTCCTATATAGGAAGCTTCTAAAAATGTATTAAACTGAGGGCCTCAAAGGATCAGGTCATTAAAAGATAGGTCCAGAAATAAAAGGAATGTGAGATAGCTCCTCTGGGATCTTCCCAGTTATTCATCGACAGATCTAATGATCACATTTGTGTCAATTTCCT